ATTTAAATATCGCCAGCTAAACCAATTCAAGCATCTCCAAGAAAAACTAGAGGGCGGAGGGAGGGGAGAAGGAATGTTGTTTTGCCCACATGAAAACGGAAGAAGAAAAACAAAACAAAACAAATCTTACAAGTGTTTGATTGAGAGCTGTAGTGAAGCTCCTTGAGAAGAGGACCTCTGGTTGTAGGACTTACTTAGAGAAGTCCATGCGTGTTTCCAGCAGACACTTTTCAGACTCTAGCTGCTCCATTTCTGAAGACTTTCTCCTCACATTCATCTGCATCCCAGCTTCTGCTGCTGGTCAACATGCACTTGACTCACCCCACATAGTGACAGTGCTCCATGCCTTCCTTCCCTGTTCCTATATATGTGTGACCAGGCTGTGCGTGCATGGTCCCAGGGGGATGTTTCTGCCCAGGGCTGTAGAGGTAAAGCTGATTTTTTTTTTCCAGTAATGATGGCTCTCATTGTCTCTAGGTAAGGGTGAGATGGAGAGATGGAGCTTTGGACCTGGGAGCACAAAGGCAGCCTCAGGGAGTGAGTTTTTATGTTTAGAATGTAGAAGGGCCACAAGTTGGTCATCAGACGTGATAGGAATAAAATTGGGATGAGTGACATGAATCAGGGACTGGGGGAAGGACCTGTAACTGGGAGCAAGAAGTCAAGGATGCTGAGAACTGGGAAAACAGACTGGCTAAAAGGATGAGAGTCTGTGCAGGAGTAGCAGGAGCCAGAGTGGGACCTTGAGGATGGAGAGTAAGGAGGGAAAGGATGGTAGGCTTGGCTGGCCAAGAAGCCTGGGACTGGGAAACCAAACCACTGAGGTGTGTAGTGTCCAGAAGCTGACCTGCTGGGAGGGGGTCAGATGGGCCTGTCTGAGAACTGCGCTGGTACTGGATTGATCAGGCAGAGGGACAGAGGAGATGGAGGTATTACTACAACCAACCCTTTATATGCTCCTTTGTCCTTGTTTTGTTGGCACCTGACTCGCAGTACTTGTTTTGACTTGCAGAAACACTGGGCACTTGCAACAATAAGTCCATGACAGTGTTGTTTTGAACGTACCTAGTCCAATATTAAGGCTAAATAATTAAAACATCAGGTTGTCGACACCTTAGATTGGATACCTAGAATGTAAAGGGGTGCTTTTTACTTTAGTTCCTCTACATAAATACTTCTGTCTCATACACTTCTGATATGAAATGGGAATAATGTCACCCCACTCTACAGAACTGGGTGAAGATAAGCTAGTTTAATGTATGATCCAGGTAAATAATACACAGGTTCAGATGCCTGTTAGTAGCTCTGTATTCACAGCTGTATCTGTATAGCTGCTATAGATGAAGGCTTTGGAGACCAGCATCACCTACCCTGTGCATCAGATGAGGCAGGAGTCCTGCAGGACATTTGCAGTCTGGCGCCATGTAATGACAGACCGTGGTAACTTATGCGTCCATGCAAGGTACCTTAATCTTGGCAATTCCTGTTTGTTTGGTTCATTTTGCAACATGAATACTGTTCTGATAATGTTTTATTTTCTATAAATTTGTATAGAATTGTCTGCAGAATGTTATAAATAGTTATATGGAGATGGAGAGGCAGAGAGCAATCACTTTCAAGGGTGATATTTGAAAGCTGAAGGGTTGCCATATTCCCATTTATTTCAAGTAGTAGAGTAGAGGGAGAGAGATGTAATGGAGAACAGCAGCTGAGTGCCAAGTTCTTTGTCACCTTCTGGTCTCCCACCAAGCCACTTGGGTGCTCTGAAAGGATGTTCTCAGGAACCAGGAGTAACCAAAGGAGCTGCCCTAACAGACTTCTCTAAATGCCGCTGGTGAAGATTCACAAATGGCATGCGAGCCACTTGAAAGCCTGGAGATAGGACCTGCTTCTGCCACTGCTACACGGGCACGTGTTGTACCTTTGTTGTCACTGCCAGTAGTGATGATGGTGGTACCAACCAAAACAAAAGGCTTAGATATCCCTGCCAT